TCAGTAGGCTAGGGGTAGCAAACCAGCACCTCCCACAAATGCAGGCAAATTGCCTTAATACATATAGCACATTGGTGCACGGTTTATGCTTGTTTGTACATGTCCTGATGAAAGTTCCACTGTTGGAACTGAAACGTTAACTCTCTATTTTTAATATGTATGATTAAAAGTTAAGTATTAACCGATTAACCACTTGTTTAACCCCTTAAGGACACAACTTCTGGAGTAAAAGGGAATCATGATGGAATATTTCCATCATGTGTCCTTAAGGGGTTAAGTCCTTGGAGTGCTGCCAATTTTTGTATTTTGTATATTTTGCTGTGTGGCTCTAGCACCAGGCATAACTTTATATACTAGGAGTGCAAGCTTTTTGGACACTTATTCATAAACTGCATATACACATACAACACTTCCCACACAAATACAACCCTGCATTCACAAACTATGGCACTGTACACAGAGACACTGTATACCCTTACATTCAGACATGCATGGGGAAGATATGCACAAATACGTATGCATTCACACACTTCCCAGTGCTTAAAACATTTTCTGCATTTGCACATTTAAATTTATTCACACATACTGTCACAAAAAATTCACATATACATTCACACTGACACTATATGAAAATTAACACATGCATCCACAAATATCTTATCTACTCAAACATACATTAAGACATATATTTTCTCAATCTATGCACACATACAAATACTGCTGCCAGGACAGATTAGTGAGGAAACATGACGTGTGAATCACACACTGTATACTTAATTAACAAATACTCAGGTATTCTTCGAGCTCTGCTATTTTGACTTAAAAGTTCCAATTCCTGTAGAGGTAACTTTTGAAATAAGGGGATGCTGGAAGCAATTTCTTTGCAGGAGCTAACAGTCTTTATTTGATCACTTTAAAAGGCATTACTACCGATTTTTGGTGACAAGGAGTTTGCCCCGATTCCTATAAACCAAGGGGCATGCCAATCAACCTTCCCAGGGACACGATTGTAAGAATTAATTTTGACCACCTCAAGGAGGCACTGATAAGGGAAGGCCAAATGTTGTGAACTTTGCCAAATCCATACAGTGAGATATCTTTGTTCCCAGACCTGTCTGCGACAACAAGGAATTCCTTGTGATCAATGAAGTCCTATCGTCCAAGCAAATTGTCTACAGGTGGGGATTCCCCACTCATCTGTTGGTCTGGTGACATGGAGTGATGAGAGTCTTACAGACACTAGAGGAGGGGATGAAAGCAACCTGCAAACGTTAATGGGCAGGCCAAATCATGCACTTTTACCTCCCAGGGCTGCCAAAGACTGGCAAACGGTTGGATTAAACCATTGAACAATTTCGAACCAGAGTCCCCTCGAGAGGACATTGATATCTATAAATATAACATGCATTCTCTGTGTTGTAACCCATGTAGGGCCCAGGAATATGGTACCTCTATGAGGATTTGCTAGATAATGGTGTTGTATGCATGGCTTAACATCAGTGATTGGAAAGTTATTTGTTAAGGTATAATATTCAAGAATTAATTTGAAACAACAATCTCATTAGCAGGAATCAACATGATTTTATGAAAGACAGGCCATGCCTAACTAACTTAATTGCATTCTATGAAGAAGTTAGAAGAAATATAGATCGGGGTGATCTAGTGTATTCATGTGATTGGATTTTGCTAAGGCATTTGATACAGTTCCATAGAAAATTTTATTATTACAACTGATATCAGATGAAAAATCTTGGATAGAACGCTGGCTTAAAGATACAATGCAGAGAGCAGTTGTAAATGGAAAATGTGCAATCCGGACAAAAGTGTTAAGCGGGGTGCCTCAGGGTTCTGCCTTGGGTTTAAATATGTTTGCATTATCTTCAAAAGGGCATTGAAAGTCATTTGTTTGTGTTTGCTCATGACACAAAACTATGTAAAATAATATAGTCTGAACATGATATAACTTCTCTACAGAGGGATTTAGATAAATTGGGGGACTGGGCAGGCAAGTGGCAGATAAGATTCAATACAGATAAATGCAAAGCCATGCAATTTGAAATAAGGAGCCCACGAGCCACTTATACAATAAATGGGGTTGAGTTAGGTATAGTAATAAAAGAAGAGGACTTGGGAATATTTAAAGATCACATACTAGGCAACATTATGCTTATATTGCAAAAGCTAGTAATGTGCATTCATGTATTAAAATGAGTATTGATTCACTTGATCAAATATAATTTTGCCTCTTTACAAATAAATGGTAAGACCCCACTTTGAATATGCTTTGCAGTTTAGGTCACCAGTTTTAATGAAGGATATTGCAGAACTAGAGAAAGTGCAGAGGCCAGGGCCGGAATAAGAGCACAGTGGGCCTGGTGCTGACAATTATGATGAGCCTAATTACAGATTCTTATCGACCAAAAACACTAAAACAATCATACCTCCCAAGCATCATGTATCTGATGGAGATGGTGCTGGAGGGAAACTCATAGGAGGCAGCTATAAGAAAACACAGACCCTATGCTAATCACCCTCTAATTTATGCTTTCATCTTTCAAGTAAATCCATAACCCCTAACAGCAGTGTCCAGTGAAGCAGGAAGTCAATGGGCGGGGTAAAAGGGTGTGCCACGCGAATCACGTGACAAGACCTGCCAAAAGGGGTGAACATGCCCAAAAAGGGGCATGTTTGTCCAAAGAATTGGAAGGTCAGCCTGGCATGAATGCATGTCAGGCTGCCTGCCAATCATGCAGGCTGTCCAACTAAGGGCATATTATGCAGGCAGCACCTTGAGCTTGACATAAATACGTCTAATGATGCGCTCACTCCATTCTTTCTAAGGACTGTCCCCTAGCACTTGCTGGTCCACTTGTCTCCTTACCTTCTTACTAGCAGGCAGAAGTTCCTGGTATAGTCTGAGACAGAGAAAAGGTGTCTGTAGTGAGTGTAGAAGAAAGGGGACATTGCCCAGTGTGCATTACCTAAACTAACTTTAATGTCAGCCAGTGCACACAAGTTTTGTTCCCATACATCCCTCTTAAGCTTCCAAACTTAAAGGGACACTATAGTCACCAGAACAACTACAGCTTATTGTATTTGTTCTGGTAAGTAGAATCATTCCATTCAGGCTTTTTGCAGTAAACACTGTCTTTTCAGAGAAAATAACTCCACTGGCCGCTCCTTAGATGGCTGCTAGAGGTGCTTCCTGGGGCAGTACTGCCTAGTGTGCAACACTGCCATTCAGTGTCTCCACCCTCTGCATGCAGACACTGAACTTTCCTTATAGAGATGCATTGATTCAATTTATCTTTATGAGGAAATGCTGATTGGCAGGGCTATGTTGGACATGTGCTGGCTCTGCCCCTGACCTGCCTAGTTGACAGTCTCAGCCAATCCTATGGAGAAGTATTGTAATTTGCTCAGACCACCACTTCTGAGCCAGCAGCTGCAGAATTGAATACAAGTAATATTTTACTATATTTAGAGAGGCAAGAAGGGGCCAGGGTGGTAGTTTTAACATAATAGGGTAAGAAATACATGATTGTGTTCCTGACACTATAGTGCTCCTTTAAGCAAGAGTATGTGAAGAGTAGTTCAGGTTGCCACCTTTCTTGGAAAAAAATACCAGCCTTAATCATTTGTATAATTAATTAGTTATGCGTGACATCACATAATGTAAATCACAAGGAGTGACATCAGAGAAAATTCTGTAAAATCACCAACAAACTACTCACAGTGTCTCAGTGTCCCTATGTATCACAGTGTCAGTGTCCCTAGTCTCCCAGTGTCTGTGTCCCCATTTCTCCCAGTGTCCCAATGTCTCAGTGTGTCCCGGGGACACAGAGACATGGGGACACAGAGACATGGGGACACTGAGACATTTAGGGAAACTAGGAGAAATGGGGACACTGAGACACTAGGGACACAGACACTGGGAGACATGGGGACACTGAAACATTTGGGGACACTAAGACACTAGGGACACAGACATGGGAACACAGACACTTGGAGACTATGGAACACTGGGAGACTAGGGGACACTGGCTGGGAGACACTAAGAGACATGGGGACAGTTGTGGACATAGACATGTGGACACTGGGACATATAGGGACACTGGGAGACTTGGGGACACAGACACTAGGGACACTGGCTGGGGGACATAGTGTCTCCGTGTCCCAATGTCTCCCAATGTCCCTATGTCTCACAGCATCCCCATGTGTCTCAGCATCCCCATGTGTCCCATGTTTTCCAGTGTCCCCAAGTGTCTGTGTCCCCAGGTCTCCCAGTGTCTGTGTCCCCATGTATCCTAGTGTCTCAGTGTCCCCTAGTGTCTGTGTCCCCATGTGTCCCCTAGTGTCTGTGTCCCCTAGTGTCTGTGTCCTCATATGTCCAGGGGTCAAGTCCTGGGGAAAAAAGTGTGGGAACTCATCCAAGATTCCCGCCACCCCCATCCCCCCCCCTTAAAAAAATAATAATTTTACACTCCTATGCTAAAGTGTAGATCAGGTGCAGTGCAGGGTGTGTATAATGAATGTAGTGTATTTGTCATGAGTGCAGTGTGTATAATGTAGTGTGTTTGTAGTGAGTGCAGAATGTGTATAATGAATGTAGTGTGTATAGTGAGTGCAGTGTTTATAATGAATGTAGTGTGTTTGTAGTGAGTACAAAGTGTGTATAGTGAATGTACTGTGTTTGTAGTGAGTGCAGAGTGTGTATAATGAATGCAGTGTGTTTGTAGTGAGTGCATATTGTGTATAATGAATGCAGTGTGTGTGTGTGCTGGATGAAGTGTGTGCGTGTGCTGGATTATGTGTGTGTTGGATTATGTGTGTGTGTGCGTGTATGTGTGTGCTAGATGGTGTATGTGTGTGCTAGATGGTGTGTGTGTGTGCGTGTGTGCTGGATGATGTGTGTGTGCGCGTTGGATGATGGGTGTGTGTGCTGGATGATGTGTGTGTGTGTGTGCGCGCTGGATGATGTGTGTGTGCGCGCTGGATGATGTGTGTGTGTGCGCTGGATGATGTGTGTGTGTCGCTGGATGATGATGTGTGTGTGTGTGTGCTGGATGATGTGTGTGTGTGCTGGATGATGTGCTGGATGATGTGTGAGTGCTGGATGATGTGTGTGTGTGCTGGATGATGTGTGTGTGTGCTGGATGATGTGTGTGTGTGCTGGATGATGTGTGTGTGTGCTGGATGATGTGTGTGTGTGTGCTGGATGATGTGTGTGTGTGTGCTGGATGATGTGTGTGTGCTGTATGATATGTGTGTGTGTGCTGTATGATGTGTGTGTGTGTGCTGTATGATGTGTGTGTGTGCTGTATGATGTGTGTGTGTGTGTGTGTGTGTGCTGTATGATGTGTGTGTGTGTACTGTATGATGTGTGTGTGCTGTATGATGTGTGTGTGTGTGCTGTATGATGTGTGTGTGTGCTGTATGATGTGTGTGTGCTGTATGATGTGTGTGTGTGTGTGCTGTATGATGTGTGTGTGTGTGCTGGATGAAGTGTGTGTGCTGGATGATAGGCGGGGAAGCATTTTTTTTAACTTTATGTGTATGTATAGTTTTTATTTTATTCCCCCCTCCCTGCTTCTTACCTTGTCAGGGAGGGGGGAGATCGCCTGGTGGTCCGGTGGAGGGAGGCAGCCGCTGCACACAAGGGCCATCACAGGCTGTGTTCTCGCTCCAGCTCTAACTCTCGCGAGAGTTATAGCTGGAGAGGGAACACAGCATGTGATGGCCCCTCTGTGCAGGTAGCAGGGCCGGTCCTGCAGGACAGGTAACGGGAACGGCGTTCCTGCTTTGGAAAAAGTGCAGGAACGCCGTTCCCATGCGTTCCTGCAGGACTCGAGCCCTGCATATGTCCCCAAGTGTCTCAGTGTCCCCTAGTGTCTCAGTGTCCCCATGTTTTCCAGTGTCCCCAAGTGTCTCAGTGTTCCCAGGTCTCCCAGTGTCTGTGTCCTAGTGTCTCAGTGTCCCCTAGTGTTTGTGTCATCATGTGTCCCCTAGTGTGTGTTCCCTAGTGTCTCAGTGTCCCCATAAGTCCCCTAGTGTCTCAGTGTCCCCATGTGCCCCCTAGTGTCTCAGTGTCCCCATGTGTCCCTGCTGCCTTTCCCCCTATCCCTCACTTACCTGAGCTGTACAGCTGCTATCTGGACTCTCTGTGCTGTATAGCTGCTCCCCCACGAATCAGTGAGTAGTAGAGAGAGGCAGGGATATTCTGTAACTTCCTAGAGTAGTGTGTAGGCCCATATTTTTTTTTTTTTTAATGGGCCTATTCCATGGGCTTGGGCCTGGAGCTGCAGCTCCATCAGCCCCTATGTTAATCCGGCCCTGGCAGAGGCAAGCTACAAAATGTAAAAAGGAGATGAAAACATTAGTTATAAACAAAGGGTAGAAAAACTGCATTTCTTTTCTTTAGAAAAAACGTGCTTCTGATGGTATATAATAGCACCATACAAATACATACAGGGTAAGTACAAACTGTAATATGCTAACCTGTTCATTAGTAGAAATGTACAACAGACAAAAGGTCACCCACTAAGACTGGAAGGAATGCTTTTTCCCTGACAGAGGAGGAAAAGGTTCTTTACGGTAAGAACAATGAACATGTGGAATTCTCTAGCCAAAGAGGTTGTCTTATCAGATACTATATATATTTTTATAAAAAGGTTTCAATGATATAATTGGTACCTATCTAAAAGGGTTCTTTACAGTAAAAATCTAAATTTAGAAGTATCTACCTAAAAAAGAAGTTGTCAGATTCTATAGATATTTTTTTTTAAAGGCCTGGATGCTTTTTTGCATTAAAAAAATATTCAGGGATATAATTGATATATATATATATATATATATATATATATATATATATATATATATAAACAATTTGTTGATCCAATGTGACATCCGAATACCTTTAAGGAATCAAGAAGGATTTGTTTTTCCTTTTTGTAGCATAGTTTAAATGACTATAATGGTCTTTTTTGGCCTTCTTATGGGTAAACAGCATAAAAGTATCATTACAAGGTTAAACTTGTTGGACTTTAGTAATTTTTCAATCTTGACTACTATGTAATTATATATGATCTAAAACACATATATCGTCCTTTCAAATCTTTGAGTTTCCATTATGCAGACAATTGATTGAATGATTATTTATAAAGAACACCCAGCACTCAGGAAACATCAATATAAATATTTAAAAAAATTACTTTTTTCTAAATAAGTCCTGTGAGTGCTCTCAACGTCATATTATTTAGAAATTTTGGTGTACACATATAGAGTTATGACTTATTTGAAACCTGTTAGACAGATAGAGAAAGAGACAGAGAGATAATCAGAAAGATGGGCAGGAGAGGCAAGCATATTTTTTTTACCGTACAGAGAATACATTCATTCTATGAATATTCTATGAATATGAACAATGCAGGTAAAATAGTGAGAAAAGGTATGCATTAAATGGAATTTCACTAATGGTAGTGAACAATAAAATGTTGGCTTTAGGCTACAGAATGCATTAATGCAAACTCTTAGAGCATGTAAGGTCAACATTTTCCCTAAGGTGTTCTCTTCCGAGCAAAATGTTTTCATTCTTCTGAAACAAATCCCAAAAGGCAAATAGTGTGCAACCTCACAGCTTCCATGATTTCCTTCACAATTAGAACAAAAAGCTGTTACTGTGACATATTAGAGAAGACAATAAGGAAAAATTCAAGTAGTCAGACTGAGATATTTAGGCAAAGCAATGTTTCAAGGAATTTAAAAATCGCTAAAAAGCAGAGAAAAAATGAGTAGTTAACATTTGTTTTGCTTTATTGATTTGGAAAATTATCTTCAAAAGTCCTCATACAGCTGTTATTATGTCTCTTTATTAGAAAAACACACACAAACACACTTATTTGCATAAATACATATCATATATATTAGTGTATTGGTTTTAGACTATATTTATAATCCTCAATAATGGTAACAGCAAAAAAGAAAATGTGCAATAGAAAGAATAACGTGTGCAATAATGTGTGCAATATCTCAAAATAATTCCATAAAATGTCTTGATATCAATATCAATTCCATAGTTGAAAGTTAGGTATTTAGAGAAAATTTCAAGAACTTGTTTCCTTCTAATTCTTTCTCCCTTAAACATAAAAAAAATCCATTGTTTATTGGAAAAGTGTGTAGCTCAAAAGAATGGACACAAGCATGGCATTTTTGACTCCTCATGCTAAGATGCATTTTGCCACCCCACCCCCTTCAAAAAGTGCATCTTCACCTGTGTGACTCCCCCCTTTTGAATTTATTATACCCGTTTGTGTTTATTGTTCCATTATTTGAATGCCTTACCTCTTTTTTGTGCATTTTCTGCCTGAATACTTGTCTCAGAACAATTATTTGCGTTCACAAATAATGTAAATGTGTTTCTCTTGAACGAATTAGATTTCCAAAAGTTTGTTGTCATGGACGTGGAATGATACCATAAGTGTTAAGTAAAATCCAGGACGAGTTACAGAAAGAGACACGTTTTACTGCTGTCAATGTTTAGTTGTGACCAAGTTTTCAAATTTGGTGTTGGTGTTAGAAAAGCATAAACCATAAATCAATATTATAGTTTATAGTGAAATATCCACCTTTCCTGGTTCATAAATTTGTTGTGTGCACTGAAACAATACAGCATTATGAGAAGAGATAATAAAATCATATCGCTCAGATAACTGAATATACCAACATAGTATAAAATTATTTCAGATGCAATAAAATTACAATTGTTTTTCACATTAAAGACGCATTTGGGACACCTCACTAAGAACCGTTCAACCAACTTGTCAACCATAAGCCAATTTCAGAATGCTATAATTGTATTTGATTTTAAGATATCTGTCTAATAAAACTATATACAATATCCAGTTCTTGTTTGTTTAATTCCCAAGATACACATATACATGTTCCTGCCTTCTTGGAAGATGTATCCAGCATCATACAAGATGAAGCACAAAATAGATTTAAGTCCCCTTTTCCCCAAATAACAGCTAATGAGGAAAAGCTGTCATACGGCTTATCATGCGGTCCTGTTCCTATGACAATGATGGCATGTGATGATAAAAAGCAAAGATGATAAATAAGTCATTGCTTCTTTGAAAATTGGACATTTATGAAGATGCATATATTCAACCAATATAGTAGCTTTAAAGAATCCATTAATTTGAAATCAAATTGGTTTTTATTTTGTCACTGGAGCATTTCTTACAGTACATGTTCTATATGGAGTTATTTTAATATACTAAATCTAACAGCAGCACTCTGAATATTTAATTGAATTTATTAATAAGCTAATAAAAAAGTTAAGGAAATAGTTTGTTATGGAATTGCAAAACTGACAATATTTTTCATGTTAAAAATAAAATGAATTATCTGTCTGAAACAAAAGTATGAATAGTGTAGCCCACGCAAAAGCATCCATTTAATAACATGATTTATCAGTTTCAATAAATTTTAAATGAAACTTTAAGATTCTTAATTCACTGGAAAACGTACGTAAATAGCATGCCAGGGGCATAGAGCATCATTGACACACTCGCCAGGGTATGAATATCTATTTGTAAAAACAAGAAAAGATGAGGGGATGGGTCTGCGCCGATGTGTACACTGAGTATTGAGTCCAATAGGATATATATTATCGTGTCCAAAGTTCTACTTTTGGTGGTATCCAGAAGGTATCGGTGTCGTGGAGAGTGGTCCAAATATGTGAAAATAGAAAAGATCTTACTTACAATTTGCAGAGCTTAATCCAGCTCTGGTGTGGATAGCTTGCAGTGGTATTATCCTCGCTTGCAGGATATACGGCAGGTGTCCTCTTCTTTGTAGTAACGGGTGGCCGAAGTTGGGAAAAATAAAATAAAAACAGTAATGGTGCAGTATATTCTGCACTTGTATAAAAAATTATATAAAATATGATAGATACACTCACTTTCATTTTGTGTTTCTTGTTCCATCTTATGAAGGTCTTACCCCTCTTAGTGTGTCTAACCCCCTTAGTTTACTTTATCCTCCATTTTTTCCCTTTGTGTCTTACACCCCCCTTGTGTGTCTCTTACTTTGCTCTTTGTGTGTTTTACTTTCCTCCAGCCCCTTTGTGTGTCATTGTCCCCTTCCCCAGTTCCACTGTGTTTTTCTTGATCTTCTTTCCAGTATCTCTGTGTCCCTGTCCACACAGCCAGCTCCTCTGTGTGTCATTGACCCCTTCTCCAGCCCCTCTGTGTGTCC